GAAAACTTAACTCAGATGTGGTAATATAAACTCAGGTGTAGAAATGGCTGACAGCAAAGTATTAGAGGCACTATCAAGATACACAAGAAGGCTAGTTTTGCTTGATGAATCCAAGTAAGAGCCACACGTTTAATGATCATGACTACAGGACTGATGATGCAATATCTTTTGACAATTTTGACTATTTTTGCCTAGTTTGTTTGTTTAAACTTTATGTGTAATCTAGCAAATTAGTGCACATTCCCCTAGTTATATTTGTTTTTGCTTTCATCTTAAGCTGAATAATATAGTGCTAGCTCCCTAGCATATTAGGAATGCATCTAGTTTCTCTTTATCAGGAGAAAAATGTGTGTTGTGTTTTATGTGGTGATGTGCCATAGCATCTGTATCCCCCTGTTCAAAATCCTAGAACTGCCCAATGAGGAGGGCCCATGATGCACTGCGAGGAGGGAGGAGATAATCCCAGGTCCTTAAAAATGCAGACCTCATGCTTCAGCCTGCTGCTGTCACCAAAAGACGAGCCCTGACTGACAAGCTAAAAGACAAACCTGAGCAAAGATCTTATAATGTTGATAATATTTTTCAGTTGATGATCAAGAGAAGAATATTCATGCATCAGTTGCACTGCAGTTCAGAAATGAAGTGTATTCGGCATAGCTCTAGAGAAAAACAGTTGAACTGACTTCAGGTGTTTTCCCAGTTTACTTGTGCTCAGGATTCAGAATTTGCCTGACAAAATATTGTAAAAAGGTTTCTTTTTTGCTGCTTCAGACCTTTAGGAAACTGCCTCTTCCACTTCAAGTTATTAAAACAGCATGCAGAAATCCAGATACAAATCTGGAGAGCCATTAAAAAAAATCCAGAAATCTATTAGACACAGCCATATCTATTAGCAGTATGTGAAATGCTAGACTGTTTCCCCTCTGCTTTCTCCCAAATTGCATGTGCATGCAAAATAATCTATTAACTGTTAACTGCTTTTCTATATGTTCTACCATACAACCTTACCATAGGCATACGGCAAAAGTTTTAAACATTTAATTTCTACTGAAGTTGAAAGCTCACCAATAAATGACCTGTACCTACAAAAGTCAGTGGGAGTCTTCAGTGTGTTTTGGATGAGGTGCAAATTCTGCTTTTCACACAACAAAGTACTTTTTGTGTTTATGATCTTTAACCCCAACACTACCGAGTGTACTTGACAGGGTTTGTTAACAGAGCTCCCAGCATTCCCTGACACTTGCACACCCACAAAGTATCTCTGTAGAGACCTAAACTGACCGTAGGGATCACAACAAAGGCGTGTGTCAATATTACCCAGTTTCGCTTTACACAGATTCATTCACTGACACCACAGTTAATTGCATCTCCAGTAACGAGCGCATGGTGCTATGTATATTTGTTCTTACAATCAAAGTGGGACAGTAAACATGGTTTCGCATTTCTGATGACTTTTTAGTGACGACTCCTCTTTTTTGTAGAGTTACTAAACAGCCTCTCAAAGAGATGGCACTACAAATTGATGCCTCAGATGGCAGATTAGATTCAGCATGACTTTTATAACAAGAACAAGAGCTTTATAAAATGTGCTAAGCTTGTCATATGAAAAATGTAGGGGCTGTACCTGCCAGTGACATTTGAAATGCAAACACCGCATTGTTTTCAGCAAATCCACCGCATGTGGATTCAAGGCAGGTTGTGGTACTCACTAAATTATGTCACTTCTGGAGCCCAGATATTGGGCAGAAGAATACGGAGGGTGAGAGATGCTTTGATTCAAAGTTTGAAAAGCACATTTAACTGAATCCCACATGACAATGCCCCAGCAAGAAGTGATTCACTGACTAAATGCAGGAAATTCATGAAATGGGCATAACCCAGTTTTGCCAAAACTGTGGTTTAAATAGATAGGCATGCGCTGTATTCCCTTTTTGCCTGCAAGGCGCTAAGTGAAAGGGGGCATAGGGAATGAAAAAAGTGGCTGAAGAAGCCAAAATGAAGACTCTCTTACTACTCATTGGATCTGTGCCACAGATACCAATTATATAAACCCAACAGCACCTATTATAATTCCAGAGTCCTTGAACAAATCATAAGCAGCAAGGTTACCCTCCTGGAAAGGTTCATCCCCATTAAAACTACTGACCCAGGCAGGAGGGCAAAGGCAGCATGAGCGAGAGAATATGTGGGAGGGGGTGGGGGGAAGAGACTAAAGCTGGTTTTGCAAGCACACCTGTGAAAATCCCATCATTTGTACTAAAAAGGAACAAGCACTATAAAACTCAGCAAAAAAAGGGTAGCATCTTGTGGACCCAAGCCAGTTCCCGCAGAAATCCATGGGTAAAAACAGTACTGCTGAAATCAATGGCAATTTCCCACAGACGTTAGCAAAGGCAGGATTTTGCCCTTCATGGTTTCAGAGGTGCAAGATCAGGTCCCATGTTTCTTGCTCTGCTGCACTTCCAAATCTCTATCATACACATGTTACTTATTAAGCACAATGTAAGAGGCCAAAAATCAGGTCCCTTATGACCATGCAACCATAATAACTTCAGTGAAAGTACTGCCCATGACCAGAGAAGACTGATATCTTAGGCACTGAGAACCTGTCTGAACCAAGACAAGAATAGACCGGGGGCAGCAGGTTAAAGAGTGGCTGGTTTGTCCTTTCTCAACCACAGCAACATAGGATCAGAGGAAACCCTCACACTCACAGAAGCCAGTGTCCTGGTACCACATGGCCTATTTATTAGTCCTCTTGCGCCAATCTTGTCCTGCAGCTACAGAAGCTCTTTCTTCTACCCCCTTTTAAGTGGGGAGTGCAGCCTGTCAGGGGGTGCACCAGCGCTCTCAGGGAGTGCCCATGCACCCCCCTGCGGCCTCTATGCATCGCCACTGTCTTAACCTGAAATAGTCTGGCTTATAGAGTACGAGCCTTCAAGATGTCAAAGTGAAGAGGTTTCTTCTCAGCCAGAATCCAGCCTAAAACTGCAAGTGTAACTCAGGAGACCATGCCAGCTGGTGTCACTGGATGTAGCTTTTACTCCTGTATCTAGATCTTTGAGACTAAGCAAAATAGTGCAGAAAAAAAACAGGTGGGCTCTCCAAAGCTGAACTGCCACAACGTCTTTGTAAGAGTGGTGCCCATGCCACTGCTTTAGTGAGGAAAGCCTTCACCGTTGGGATGTGATAATCCAAGGGATTTAATAAGACCGAAAACTCTTGGAGGTGAAGAAAGCAGAAGTTCTTATATAGGAGTACAGAGAGGCCAAGATACAGTGAAGTCACTTTCTAGTTTCTATATTATTTGCCACATTTCTTGGTCAGTGGCAGAAGGAAGCGACTTCCTCTCTTTTTACCATTTTCCCAGGACATTTTGCACTAAACTGTTCCCTTCATCTGCCCACCACCCACTCCAAACACTCAGCTCTGAGCCCTGCTGCAACAAGCAGAACCTGCAAAGGAAAGAGGAAGCACCAACACTGCAGCATTTCCTCCAACTCCTCTGCAAGTATCAGTGGGGATGCTGAGACAGCCTACAGCTGAGCGACCTCCCCGTGGACTCCTATCCCCAAAAGCAGGGCAGCCTCAGCAGTACATTACACTGGGAGCTACAGGAGAGAAACTGCTGCAAAAAATCTGGGGAAGCCAATGGAGAAATGAGCAAACAGCAAGAAGCCTGGGGACAGGGGCGATGGGGAAAATGGATAGAGAGACTAGGTCAGACCTTGGAGACAAGTGGGAGGAAAGACCTGGGAAGGACACAGAGAGAAACCGGGGGGGGGGGGGAAGCAGAA